CATCAATGTTTCTCTCTCTCTCTCCCTCCCACTCTCTCTGAACAAAAAATGGAAAAATATCCTGTGATGAGGATTAAAAAAAAAAAAAAAGAAAACCTCAACAGCTTTTCATAGACTCCAAAATAAAATAGGATAGTGTTCAAGGCCCCCCTTTTTTTTATGATACAGTTCCAAATTATCCTTTCATTCTCATCTCCTATATTTCATGAAATGCATCAGAGAAAGAGAGAGAAACATCGATTTGTTGTTCCATTTATTTATGCATTCATTGATTGATTCTGTTGTATGCGCCCTGACCAGAGATTGAACTTGCAACCTTGGCAAATGGGGACAACGCTCTAACCAGCTGAGCTACCTGACCAAGATCTGTTTTTAATAACTTGATAATTTCATTGTATCAAATCTGTTTCCTTTGTAATCCTACATATTTTATTTTAAGTTTTTAAAAACTTCATTCTGAGAAGCTCTACCAGGTTGATTGCCAGAGTGGCCTGTGACACAAAAAACTGATTTCTGCACCAGTAGAGGCAGGAAGATCATTTAAGAGGCTGTTAATTCCAGCAAGTGATAAAAGAGAATGTGACTTGGGCATTGTTCACAGGGACAGATTCCAGAGATCCTTTAACCTTCACTCGCAGAATCTGCTTTTATCAGCAACACAACCAGATAACAGCATTGCTACTAACCATTTATGCTCACTTCATTTTGGCAGGAGGAACTGCTTCCTTGAAAGTGTAATTTAGGAATGTTTTCTTTTCAAATTTGATATAATATAGGGGGAAATATCCAAGCCATATAGGATGCCACTCTATTGTTTATCTGGCATAATAGGTATTACCTGGACATTTTCCCACAATTAATAGCTTTCCACCAAGAAAACACAATAAGCTTTTACAGCCTTACATCCTGTGATGTAAAGCCTCTTTAAAAAGAGGAACAGAATCAGACAGTAAGGGAAGAGAGCCTGAGGGATTAGAAGAAGCAGAGGATGAGCTGGTGGCAGGTTGAGGACGCCTCAGTAACAGGCTTCTGCACAAGGCTCTGAGTAATCACCCACCAACGCCTGGATCCACAGGCTGCTGCAGTTAGCGTTCACTGCTCTGCTCGTGACACCCCGGGCCTGCAGTACAGCACACAGCAGCCCAACTCGTCACTTGAGTTCCGCTGATTGGCAACTCGGACAGGCTGCTGCTGTCTCATCTCTGAATGTCCAGATGATTATGGTTTTGAACTCTCTTGACCTTTCAATCCTCCCCACCCCCTACCCCCAGCTGTCACCTTGTTTTCTTATACTAGAATGTGAACTGTTAGAGGTTGGGCATCATGGTGCTTCTCAAAGTAGGTGCTGTTCTTTGTTAAATGAAGGAATCATTCAATAATTGAGGTAAATGCATTTACTTAAGGAAGGTGAAGCTCTCCAACCCTAATTTGTAATTTTATTAAGTATTTACCTTGGTCATACCTCCAGAAAAAAATGTTAGGTTTTTCATATCATCACTCTCAGCACAGGATTGTGCTAGGATTTATCAGAGAGCTATGGGAAACGGGCATATAATCCCATCTTCTTACATTCTTTAAGGACCAGTTGTTGTAATCAATAATATTGTAATCAGAAACAATATCCTGCCCGGCCGGTATTGCTCAGTGGTTGAGTGTCGACCCATGTACCAAGAGGTCACCGGTTCAATTCCCAGTCAGGCACATGCCCAGGTTGTGGGCCAAATCTCCAGTGGGGGGCATGCAGGAGGTGGCCAATCAATGTTCTCTCTCATCGATATTTCTATCCCTCTCTTTGTCTCCCTTCCTCTCTCTCTAAAAATCAGTAAAGAAAAAAAAAGAAACAATATCCCCTTTTTTGTTTTGCTTTTTAAAAATTCATGAACCACCCTGGCCGGTTTGGCTCAGTGGTTAGAGTGTCGGCCTGGGGTCCAGAGAGACCCAGGTTTGGTTCCCGCTAAGGGCACGTACCTCGGTTGCAGTTTGTTTCAACCCTGGTTGGGTCGTGTGGGTGGCAGCCGCTCAATGTGTCCCTTTCATGTTGATGTTTCTCTCTCTCTCCCTTCCTCTCTCTCCCTCCCGCTCTGTCTGAACAAAAAATGGGAAAATGTCCTCAGGTGCAGGTAAAAAAAATTTTTTTAATTCATGAACCTAACTAACTTTATAGAACGAGAATCCAATCTCTCCTAATCTCTTGTGATCTGTGTGGAGAAATGGGAAAACTGGAGGCAGAGATGCTGTTCAGAGACACCTGGGCACTAGCTCTGTGGCCTCTCTGAAGATGAGGATGGTTCCTTGCTGCTGATCAGTTTGGTTCACTCTTTGACATGCAGGCTTTCCAAGTTAGAACACTCTTTGATATTCCCTAAACATGAGCTCATACAGTCTTAGTGTACATTCCTTAGGAAGGTGCTGATGAGGTAAGCCTGAATATAAAGAGAGAAGCTGGCCTTGTTATCAGCCCTGGGGCACTCGCTGACTAAGTGAAGACTGTCAGCAGCAGTTGCACACCCACAGGGAATCCAGACGTGCAGAAAGCCAGCAGAGACACACTGCCTCTGCTCCTGCTCTCCGGCCACCTCACCTGCCTTCTGTCAAGTTTTGTTTCTTTGCCTAAGTAAATCAGGAAGTATATGCTCTCTTCCTGCTTTATTTTTTATTTTATTTATTTACTTTAAAGTTTCCTGTTTATTTTGAAATAATTTTAGACTTACAGAAAAGTTACAAGAATAATATAAAGAATTCTCATTTTTACTCAGATCCAAATGTTAACACTTTATCATATTTTATCATCCTCTCCATCACTATATATTATTTTTTTGAACTGTTGCAGATATTATACCCCTTTAGTCCTAAATACCTGTATTTCCCCCAAACAAGGAAATTCTCTTACATAATCACAATACAATGATCAAAATCAGGAAATCAATATTGATACAATACTATTACTTAATATACAGATCTTATTAATATTTTGCCAATTGACCTAATACAAATGTCACATTTACTTGTCAGATTAATGGAATCATATATTTTTTCATTATTTACAGAATATTAGTTTCTGTGGGATCGTATGTTTTTTCTTGTGTTTTTTTTTTAATCCTCACCCAAGGATATGTTATTGATTTTAGAAAGAGGAAGGGAGAGGGAGAGAAAGAGAAACATTGATGTGAGAGAGAAACATCAATTGGTTGCCTTCTACATGTGCCCCAACCAGGGATTGAATCTGCAACCTCCAGGTGTATAGTACCACACTCCAACCAACTGAGACTCACCAGCCAGGGCTATAGTTATTTTCTATAGTTTTTAGCATAAAACATTTGAGTAATCCATGTTGTCCTGTGTATCAATAATTTGTCTTTTTTTTTTTTTAATCCTCACCCGAGGACATTTTTTCATTTTTTGTTCAGATAGAGTGGGAAGGAGAAAGAGAGAGAGAGAGACATTGATGTGAAAGGTACACATCAAGTGGCTGCCACCTATACAAACCAACCAGGGCCGGGGACAAACTGCAACCAAGGTACGTGCCCTTAGTGGGAACTGAACCTGGGTCTCTCTGGACCGCAGGCCGACACTCTAACTGCTGAGCCAAATCGGCCAGGGCAAGTTGTCCTTTTTTGTATTGCTGAGTAGCATTCCATTGTTTGGACTATACATGATTTATTTATTCATTCACCAGTTGAGAAACATTTGAGTTGCTTCCAGTTTGGGACTGTTACAAATAAAACTGCTATGAACATTCATGTGCAGGTTTTTGTGTGAATGTGAGTTTTCATTTCTCTAAGATACATACCCAGGAGTGTGACTGCAGAGTCACAATGTTCAGCTTTATAAGAAAATGACAAACTGTTTTCCGGATGTAGGTCTACATTTTACATTTTCACTAGCTGTGTATGGGAGATCCAATTTGTTTGTATCCTCAGCATCTGGTATCTTATTGTAGTTTTAATGTGCATTTCCAAAGTGACTTATGATATAGAGTGTCTTTTCATGTTCTTTATAGCCATTTCTTTGGAAAAGTGTCTTTTCAAATACTTTACCCATTTTTTAAAATCATATTGTTTTCTTATTATTGGTTTTGAGAGGTTTTTAATTTATATTCTGGAAACAAGTCAGGTGTGTGATGTGCAAATATTTTCTCCCAATCTGTAGATTTTCTTTTGATCCTTCCTCACAGTGGTGAAAGAACACGCTATGGTTGAGGAACTGATAGAAGGCCTGTATAACCAGAGTGTAGAACAAGAAGAAAGTGGTATGCAATGAGGCGGGAGAGGCAGCTGGGAACTTGCAGACTATGTTAAAGAGTTGGCATTTGTTATAACAGCAATGAGAAGCCATTGAGAGCTATTAAGCAGAGGGGTGACATGAATGGATTTGTGTGTTTTGGTTTTTTTATCCTCACCTAAGGACATTTTCTTTACATTTATCTTCAGATAGAGCTGGAGGGAGAGAGGGTAGAAGAGAGAGAGAGACACATCGATGTGAGAGAGACACATTGACTGGCTGCCACCCTCACAACCCCAACCGGGGCCAGGGACAAACTGCATCCAAGATAGGTATCCTTAGTGGGAACCGAACCCAGGACTCTCTGGTCCACAGGCCGACGCTCTAACCGCTGAGCCAAACTGGCCAGGGCTTTTTTTTTTTTTTTTTTCTTTACTCTGTAGGGAACTACACTGATTTTTTTAATGTTGAACCAGCCTTGGATTTGCTAATGTTTTGTTGAGGATTTTCATTAAATTCTCAGGGCCTTCACTTGTGAAGTCATATGTGCTATTTTCAGCAGCACTTTCCCTACACCACGTCTAACTATGATTGGAAGGCACCCCTTCCACAACCACTGCATCAAGGCATACTTTACTCAGACTTCAAGACCCAGTTGACACAGCATGTCTTCCATGATGATTTCCCACTCATAATTATTCACTCCAGTTTCTGAGACCCTCAACTTTGTTTTATCTCATCGTTTTGTAACTATTTCCATATGTTCACACACCTTACCTGACTAAAACTCCTATTTGGTTCATCTCAGTAATTCTCAGTGCTTGGTATAGGGCCCAGTGTAGAGTAAGTGCTCAGTAAATGCTTGTTGACTGAATAAAAGAAGAGACAGACAAATCAGGGAAGGAAGGCTTTGTCTCTCCAAGCTTCAGTGCCGAGAATCTCATCCTTGTGCAGACACATCATAGGTAAAGCCCAGTAGTTGAGTTGGTATTTCCCAAACTTTTAATTCTCATATCCCCTTTGCTGAAGGGAAGGTAGTTCAGAAACTATCATCCTTTAATATTGGATTAATCTTCATTAAACACCTTACCCTGGAAGAATCTGGGAGACCTTACTGAATGATAGGTAGGTTTTAAAGCATCAGAGGAATTTTTCCTGGAGCTAAGTGGGAAGGGGGCTCAGAAAGAGGAAATAGTGTGGAATGAATTCTTATGAAGTTTTTCAGCATTCCAAATTTTGGCATCATGTCCAAGTGCTTTCTTCTCACACCATTTTTCTACACCCTCACCTGTCAATTTAACTTCAGTCATATTCAACTACCTGTTGCTCACTAGTTTCTTCTTTCCTCTGAGCCTTTGTACATGCTATTTGCTGAACTTGGAATGCCTTGTTCTCTGATTTTCTTTAACTTGGCTAATTCGTGTTCATCCATTAGGTCTCAGCTTAAATATCACCTCCTCTGGGATGCCTTCCCTGACCACCTGCCCCAGCCCCCCTATTAGTACACGCAGACCCAGGTAAAAGCCTGGAGACTGCAAATTTACCTCCATAAGTGGAGGGCAGAAAGAAACTAAAGAAACAGGATGGTCACCCCAGTCTGCTAATTAATAGAGTTTATTAAGGGAAACTTACATACAAGGCATGTCATGGGCAGCTGCAAGACAAAGTGGATCCACAAGCTGCTTGGCAGGGCCAGAGAATTATATGGGATGTCAGGCAGTGGGAATGGTCACAGTAGTATGTGAATGCTACCAGGTACGGGAAATTACATGCTTGACCAGGTCAGGTTCCAGGAACCAGCACATCGCAGGAGGCAGGGGAGGGCTGCTGACTGATGTCATAATGAACATCACTTATAATCAGACAGTCTCTAAGGGGGGTTTTTCTGGCCTGGGTCAAGGTTACAGGACAGACAGTGGTCATGTCATGGAACAGTCTCCTCCACACACCCCAAGTCTGAATTCAGGCTCTTTCACTATGTTCACTGAGCTTACTTACTTGTCGCACTTGTAAAACTATTTTAATTTCTTTTTTAGTCTTCTATATTTTTCACTAGACTTAGAGCTCCTTAGGGGTAGCACTGTATCATGTTATTCCTAGAACAAAACATTTCTTCAATGAATGAAGGGGTGAATGAATGAATCCAACAAGAACACTGACTGCAAAGAAAGATGAAAAGAGCAGGTAGCTGGTACACTTTTTCTTTCCACACCCAGCATTCTCCTGGTGTGCAGCCTGCAGATGTGGAGGAAGTCATCAAGAAGGGTGTGCAGACCCTTGTGATTGGCCGAGGGATGAGTGAGGCCTTGAAGGTAGGTACTGGTGAACATAGCATCCAGAGGCCAGCTGCTGATCTCTTGGACCTGCACCTTAGAGATAGTCCCTGTTGGGAGTTCATCTCTATATAACATGCTCCCTCATTTTGCTGATGAGCCAGTGGATGGCCCAGGATAAAATAATGGCTGTGTACTATTCCCCTGAGCAGGGGTGGACTCTCGTCTACCTGGTCCTGGACCTGTATTGTTTCAAGTATTTCTCAGAAAGTCCTCAGTCTTGGAATTTCTCAAGCTCTACAACTATGAACATTGGTTCTTTAGATTTTATAATAACTTTTTTTTCCCCGTTTTTTGTTCAGATAGAGTGGGAGGAAGAGAGAGGAAGAAAGAGAGAGAAACATCAACGTGAAAGGGACACATTGAGTGGCTGCCACCCGCACGACCAACCAGGGCCAGGGACAAATTGCAACCGAGGTACGTGCCCTTAGCGGGAACCGAACCCGGATCTCTCTGGACCGCAGGCTGATGCTCTAACCGCTGAGCCAAACCGGCCAGGGCAATTTTCTTTTCTTAAATGCATTCCAATTATGTTTTTCCCTTTTATGAAAAAAAATTATTTATTTTAATTTTACTTACAGAAAAGGTTCAATGTAGAAGAAAAAGGTAAAAGATTTCCCCTCTTACGTATACTGCTCCAGTTCTCTGTATATCTGCAAATACATACACACTTACACGTACAGACATCCATTAATGCACTTTCAACCTTTTCTCGTGTATCTGCACATACACACTTACACGTACAGACATCCATTAATGCACTTTCAACCATTTTGACATATAGGGTCACAATATACATATTGTTCTGTAACTTTTTATTCACTTAACATTGTTACGTTACACATAAGTACATAGAGATCTACCTCATTCTTTCCTTTATATAGATGTTCTCAAATCCAGCTCCCTACTAATGAAGGTGCCCTTTATTTATTTATACTTTTCAGTTAACCTAGTTTTTCCCCATTAGAATAATTCCGATCTATAAAGCTACTGTTATTATAAAATTGTTTAAACATACAGAAGAGTAATATAGGGCACTTAAAAAAATACTTCAGAGCTTTTCTGAAGAGGCAAAGTCTAATTAAAATGTATTTAGCCCTGGCCGGTTTGGCTCAGCGGTTGGAGCATTGGCCTGCGGACCAGAGAGTCCCGGGTTTGGTTCCCACTAGGGGCACATACCAAAAAAGAAAAAGAAAAAGAAATGTATTGAAAATAGCCCAGCCGGTGTACGTAAACCCATGCACTAAGAGGTTGTCGGTTTGATTCCCAGTCAGGGCACATGCCCAGGTTGTGGGCCAGATCCCCAGTGGGGGACATGCAGGAGGCAGCCAAGAGATGTTCTCTCTCATCAATGTTTCTGTAGCTCTCTCCCTCTCCCTTCTCTCTCTAAAATTAATAAAGAAAAAAATTTTTAATTAAAAAATGTATTTAAAATAACATTCAGGCCCTGGCCGGTTTGGCTCAGCGGTTGGAGCGTCGGCCTGCGGTACAGAGAGACCCGGGTTCAGTTCCCGCTAAGGGCACGTACCTCGGTTGCAGTTTGTCCCCGGCCCTGGTTGGTCGTGCGGGTGGCAGCCACTCGATGTGTCCCTTCACATCGATGTTTCTCCCTCTCTCTCTTCCTCTCTCTCCCTCCCGCTCTGTCTGAACAAAAAATGGAAAAATGTCCTCGGGTGAGGATAAAAAAAATAAAATAAAATAACATTCAGAACAAGCCAGAGTTGAGAATATCTGATAATAGCTACCACTGTTGAGAAACTTTTACATAAATTCACTTAAAAATATTTTTCATACCTTCTATAGGTTAGATACTATTCTAGGCACAAGGGACAGGACAAGACAAGGTTCATGACCCTCATGGATAATAAAAAAGTAGGCAATTTCATTTTTTTTTTTTTTTAATCCTCACCCGAGGACATTTTTCCATTCTTTGCTTCAGATAGAGTGGGAGGGAGAGAGAGGAATGGAGAGAGAGAGAGAAACATCGATGTGAAAGGAACACATCGAGTGGCTGCCACCCACACGACCGACCAGGGCCAGGGACAAACTGCAACCAAGGTACGAGCCCCTAGCGGGAACCGAACCCGGGTCTCTCAGGACCACAGGCCGACGCTCTAACCGCTGAGCCAAACCGGCCAGGGCGGCAATTTCAGATAATACAATTTTATGAAGAAAATGGTGATGTATGAATAGCTCTTCTAAACAGGGTAGTCAAGAGAGGCCTTTTTTTTTTCCTCACCCGAGGACATTTTTCCATTTTTTTGTTCAGGGAGAGTGGGAGGGAGAGAGAGGAATGGAGAAAGAGAGAGAAACATCGATGTGAAAGGAACACATCGAGTGGCTGCCACCCGCACGACCAACCAGGGCCGGGGACAAACTGCAACCGAGGTACGTGCCCTTAGCGGGAACCGAACCCGGGTCTCTCTGGACTGCAGGTCGATGCTCCAACTGCTGAGCCAAACCAGCCAAAGCAAGAGAGGCCTTTCTGAGAGGACATTGGAGCTGCAGTATACATACATTTGTTAATTTCATTCTCACTCCAACCCTGTGATGTCACTATTATTGTCCCCCCCTTTACAGAGGAGGAAATTGGGGTCGAGAGACTTGAAATAGCTGGCTTAAGGGCTCTTGGTTGGTACATGGTAAAGTCAGAATTTATACTCAGGTAGGACTGACCTAACATTTAACATTTACATGGTTTGGGGTCTGTATCATACCAGACATTTTACATACCTTAGCTAAATTAATTCTCATACCAACCCTGTGAGCTAGTATCATTATCCCTATTTCCAGTCATGGAAACAAAGGCTTAGAGAATTTAATTCACTTACCCAAGGTCACAGCACTAGCAAGGACTTAAATCCAAGGCTAACTCCAAAATCCATGCGCTTTCCATTTCCATTTCATCTGAGCTTTATGCATACAGATCATGATACTTCTGTCAACTTCACAGAAATCTTTTAGCCTTCTTGGGCTCACTGCCAAATTTTAGACTGGTGATTCTCTGGGTGATTGAGGAGTGACAGTTGTCCCTGTCTAGTTCTCTATCATATATTTGCCTCATGGCAGAAAGGAAACCCTGGGGGCCTTCCACCCACCACTTACTCACCTTTTTCCTTCTTCACAGGTGCCCCCATCAACTCTGGAATACCTCGAGAAACAAGGCATTGATGTGCGGGTCCTCCAGACAGAGCAAGCAGTGAAGGAGTATAATGCCTTGGTTGCCCAAGGTATCAGGGTGGGAGGGGTCTTCCATTCCACCTGCTGATGGAGCCTTAAGAAAATAAATCACTGCTCTAGCTGGTGAGGCTCAGTTGGTTGGATCATTGTCCTGTGTACTGGAAGGTCTTGGGTTTGATTCTCGGTCACGGCACATACCTAGGTTGCCTACGTTGCAGGTTCCATCCCTGGTTGGGGTGAGTATGGGAGGCAACGAATCAACATCTCTCTCACATCAATGTTTCTCTCTCTTCCTCTAAAATTAAATTAATTACTTAAAGAAAATAAATCACTAAGCAATAATACCTGTGACTATCACTCTCACCACTCTCCACACCAGCCTCCCCAAGCATTTTGAACAGCTGCTCATGCCAGGTCCTGAGCTCGGTAGACTTTGGGATGCATGGACGACTAAGGCATGGTCTTTGTCCTTAGTGAGGGAAGGAGATGCTGAAAATCAGAAGAGGAGATGACATTTATCAAAGATTAATAGTGTAGGCTAGTTTGAGAAAGCCAAATTTTAAAAATGTCTTTGAAGGACAGAAAACCTTCAGTGCATTAAAATCACATTGTAGACTTCCGGTCAAGATGGCGGGGTAGGTAAATGGGGTATAGCGTCCTCCCACAACCACATCAAAGTTACAACTAAACTACAGAACAACCACGATTCAAAACCGCCTGAAATCAAGCTGAATGGAAGTCCTACAACTATGGAATTAAAGCAGCAGCCACATAGAGACTGGTAGGAGGGGCGGAGGCGCGACGGGCTGGTCCCACACCCACGTGTGGCAGATGAAAATCAGGAGGACGCCTCGGCTGGGAAGGTCCTCCCTGAGGACTGAGGGGGTCCCCGTCCCACACCAGATGCCCCGCTCAGGGTTCCAGTGCCAGGAAGAGAAGTCCCAATAACTTCTGGCTGGAAAAACCAGCAGAACTGAGGCTCAGGGAAGCTGAAGTGGCTGGAGCCCCAGGCAGCTCCTTAAAGGGCCTGCGCACAAATTTATCAGACTCACTCTCTAAGCTTGGAGAGAAGGCAGCTCGAGGGGTGCCAGGGACATACAGGAAAGAACTGAGCTGTTTGGCACTGGAGCGAGGGCTGGAGAGGGGGCTTTCTCCAGGACAGATGTGCTGTCAGAGGCCTTTGTTTCTTTGGTGAGCCTTTCCCTGGGGCGGCAGACACCGACCATATCTGGGACTCCAGCAACCTGGCTCACACTGGTTGCCCCACCCTGGTGATTCCCTGAGGCCCCGCCCCACCCAACTTTCAGGCCCACCCAAGCTGTTGCCAGTTGCTTAACCATAGGATTGGCCCCTGTCCTGGATCCTGCTTCAGGTTTTTCCTAAATTCTTTCAAACAAGCAGCATCTGGTCTCAGATAGCCCCATACCTCTCGTTAAGTAACACACAGAAACAAACACAGAGAGGCAGCCAAAATGAGGAGGCAAAGAAACAGGTCCCAAATGAAAGAACAGAACAAAACCCCCAAAAAAGAACTAAGCGAAATGGAGATAAGCAACTTAACAGATGCTTAGTTCAAAATACTGCTTATAAGGATGCTCAATGAACTTAGTGAGAACCTCAGTGAACTTAGTGAGGGCCTCAAGAGCATAAAAAAAAGACCAGTCAGAAATGATCAATGCACAGTCAGAAATGAAGGAGGCATTAACTGAAATAAAGAATAATTTACACCGATTCAATAGTAGAGTACGTAAACCCAAGAAGCAAACCATTGATTTGGAATATAAGGAAGCAAAAAATGCCCAATCAGAACAGCAAAAAGAAAAAAGAATCCAAAAAAAAATGATAGTGTAAGGAGCCTCTGGACAACTTCAAGCGTGCCAACATTTGCATCTTGGGGGTGCCAGAAGGAGAAGAGAGAGAACAAGAAATTGAAAACCTGTTTGAAACAATAACTTTCCCAACTTGGTGAAGGAAACAGACATACAAGTCCAGGAAGCACAGAGAGTCCCAAACAAGATGAACCCCAAGAGGCCTACACCAAGACACATCATCATCAAAATGCAAAAGGTTCAAGACATAGAATCTTAAAAGCAGTGAGAGAAAGGCAGCTAGTTACCTACAAGGGAGTTCCCATAAGGCTGTCAGGTGATTTCGCAAAAGAAACTTTGCAGCCCTGGCCGGTTTGGCTCAGCGGTTAGAACGTCAGCCTGCGGTCCTGAGAGACCCGGGTTCGGTTCCCGCTAAGGGCATGTACCTCGGTTGCAGTTTGTCCCTGGCCCTGGTCGGTTGTGCGGGTGGCAGCCACTCGATGTATTCCTTTCACATAGATGTTTCTCTCTCTCTCTCTGTTCCTCTCTCTCCCTCCCACTCTACCTGAACAAAAAATGGAAAATGTCCTCGGGTGAGGATAAAAAAATAAAAAATAAAAAATAATGCCCTGGCCAGTTTGGCTCAGCGGTTAGAGCGTCAGCCTGCGGTCCTGAGAGACCCGGGTTTGGTTCCCGCTAAGGGTACGTACTTCGGTTGCAGTTTGTCCCTGGCCCTGGATGGCCATGTGGGTGGCAGCCACTCGATGTGTCCCTTCACGTCGATGTTTCTCTCTCTCCCTTCCTCTCTCTCCCTCCCACTCTATCTGTACAAAAAATGGAAAAATATCCTCGGGTGAGGATAAAAAAAAAAAGAAAGAAAGAAACTTTGCAGGCCAGAAGGGAGTGGCAAGAAATATTCAGAGTGATGAAAAGCAAGAAGCTACAACCAAGATTACTCTATCCTGCAAAGCTGTCATTTAGAATCGATGGCCATATAAAGAGTTTCCCAGACAAGAAAAAGTTAAAGTTCTTCACCACCAAATTGTTATTATATGAAATAATGAAGGGTCTTTTTTTTATTTAATTTTTTATTTTTTTGTTACAGATGTTTCTCCTTTTTTACCCCATTGGCACCCCCCTCCCCACCCCACCTCTGCCCCTTCCCTGGCTTTGTTATCCATGTCTATTGGTTATGTATACATGCATATAAGTTCTGTGGTTTATCTCTTCCCACCCCCCAACCCCTCTTCTGAGGGATGTCAGTCTGTGCCCTACTTCCATGTTTCTGGGTCTACCGTATTCCTCAGACTGTTATGTTCATTATATTCCATATATAAGTGAGATCACGTGGTATTTGTCTTTTTCTGCATGGCTTATTTCACTTAGGATAATACTTTCCAGGTCCCTCCATGTTGTCTCAAAGGATAAGAGATCTTTCTTTCTTACAGCTGCATAGTACTACATTGTGTATATGTACCACAGCTTTTTTATCCATTCATCTACTGATGGACACTTGGGCTGTTTCCAGATCTTAGCTATTGTAAATAGTGCTGCTACAAACATGGGGGTACATATATTCTTCCTGATTGGTGTTTCAGACTTCTCCTTTTTTTTTTTTTTTTTTAATCCTCACCCGAGGATATTTTTCCATTTTTTTTTTGTACAGATAGAGTGGGAGGGAGGGAGAGGAAGGGAGAGACAGACAGAAACATCGACGTGAAGGGACACATCGAGTGGCTGCCACCCGCACGACCAACCAGGGCCGGGGACAAACTGCAACCGAAGTACATGCCCTTAGCGGGAACCGAACCCGGGTCTCTCCGGACCGCAGGCCGACGCTCTAACCGCTGAGCCAAACTGGCCAGGGCTGTTTCAGACTTCTTAGGGTATATTCCTAGAAGCGGGATCACTGGGTCAAATGGAAATTCAATTTTTAATTTTTTGAGGTAACACCATATTGTTTTCCATAGTGGCTGCACCAGTCTGCATTCCCACCAGCAGTGTATTAGAGTCCCCTTTTCTCCACACCCTTGCCAGCACTTGTTCTTGTTGTTTGATGATTTGTTGATGGCGGCCATTCTGACAGGTGATACCTCAGGAAGGGTCTTTTTGAAGAAAAAGATAAAATATATGAACAAACAAAATGGCAATGAATACATATCTATCTACAAACAAAATGAACAGGCAGAACAGAAACATTCTCACGGATACAGAGAACATTTTGTTGGTTGCCAGATGGGAGGGGGTTTGGGGGAATGGGTGAAAAAGGTGAAGGGATTAAGAAGCACAAATTCATTGCTAGACTGACAAACCTCAAAGGGAAAGGGGTTGGGGGGTGGGAAGACATAAACCAAAGAACTTATATGCATAACCAATGGACACAGACAATAGTGTGGGAAAAGGCAGGAGGGGGGCGGGAGTGGGGAGGAGGGGGTCAATGGGGGAAAAATGAGGAACATCTGTAATACATTCAACAATAAAGATTTTTAAAAAATAAAATTAAATAATAAAATCAACATTGCAGTTGATGCTTTGGATTGTTTAGCCATCAGGTCAACCAGTATTTATCAAGGATCTTATCTGCCAAGCACTGCTATAGACTACAGAGAAACATCATTAAAAGTTTTGTCTTGCCCTGGCCGGTTTGGCTCAGCGGTTAGAGCGTCAGCCTGCGGTCCTGAGAACCCGGGTTCGGTTCCCGCTAAGGGCGCGTACCTCGGTTGCAGTTTGTCCCCGGCCCTGGTCGGTTGTGCGGGTGGCAGCCACTCGATGTGTTCCTTTCACATCGATGTTTCTCTCTCTCTCTCTCTCTCTCTCTCTCTTCCTCTCTCTCCCTCCCACTCTACCTGAACAAAAAATGGAAAAATGTCCTCCGGAGAGGATAAAAAAAAAAAAAAAAAAGTTTTGTCTTCATGCCTTGGCGAGTTTGCTCAGTGGTTAGAGCGTCGGCCTGCAGTCCAGAGAGACCCGGGTTCGGTTCCCGCTAAGGGCATGTACCTCGGTTGCAGTTTGTCCCTGGCCCTGGTTGGGTCGTGTGGGAGGCAGCCACTCGATGTGTCCCTTTCATGTCGATGTTTCTCTCTCTCTCTTCCTCTCTCTCCTTCCCACTCTATCAAAAAAAAAAAAAAAAAATGTTTTGTCTTCATGAGGCTTATATTCTAGTGGGTGGGGGGGGGAACAAGTAAATGAATAAATACATTACGTAAGTAGATGGTCATGAAGAAAAATAAAGCAGAATAAGAAGACAAGGAGTGATGGGGCTAGTTCAGATATGTGGTCAGGGAAAGTCTGTGCAACTGGCATTATGAGCAGAATCTTGAATTAATTCAGAGAGCACTTGGGTAACAGTAAAAGGAGCTATGCCTTGATACTTGGTTCTAGGCAGACTGTTCTACTAAACCTGAGCCTCTCCAGACAGTTCTCCCCGGGCCTCTGATTCTGTCACTATGAAATGATGGGGCTGGACTAGATGCCCTTTAATAGTCTCTACTGTGACGCAGAGTCCTTGTTCTAGCAAATGCCACGTGGCCTTTGTGAAGCCTTAGAACAGAATGACAGAACTAGAATGTTATGAGCATCATCTTATTTTTCATTTGTCCTCCACCTTTTTCTTTTTTTAAATGTTTTTCTTTTCATTGACTTTAGAGAGCCAGGAAAGGAGAGGTAGAGAGAGAGAAACATCATCCATGGGCCGCCTCCTGTACTCGCCCTACTGGGGATTGAGTCTGCAGTCTGGGCATGAGCCCTGACCATGAGTCAAACCAGCCACCTTTTGGTGCATGGGGCGATGCTCAACCAATTGAGCCACACCAGCTTGGCTGGCCCTACCTCTTTATTATTATTTTTCCTTTATTGATTTTAGAGAGAAAGGAAGGGATAGGGAGAGACAGATAGAGATATCTATGAGAGAGAACATCGATTGGCCACCTCCTACATGCCCCCCAGTGGGGATTTGGCTTACAACCTGGGTGTGTGCCCTGACCAGGAATTGAACTGGCGACCTCTTGGTTCAGGGGTTGATGTTCAACCACTGAGCCACACCGGCCGGGCTGTCCCCCACCTCTTTAAAGAGTTCTAAGTATGGACTTTGGTGTCAAATAGACTTGACTCTGACCTGTGGCTTTCTGCCACTCGGTGGCAGGGCACTTATTTAATCCTCAGAATTTCACTGTTCTCATCTGTCAGACAGGGGTAATATTAGTACCTGGAATTATTGTAAGTATTAAATAGATAATTCTTAGGAAGTCTTAGCACACCACATGGCATGTGGTAAGGACTCAATAAATTGAAGCCTTTGTTGTCATTATCTTTCTATTAATGGAGCTGCTGTGTAAAGCCAGTTTCATTTTATGGAACCCAAAGGAACTACCTACTCTGTCTCTCATTTATTCAGTAATTCTCTTTCATGCCCATTTACTGAGAGTCTTAATAATTTTCTTATGACCAGTTATTACTGGGCCCTGGGGGTACAGGAATTAAGTTGGTTATAGTTCTTACACTCAAGAGTATGTGGAAGAGACAAGTAAACAGACAACAAAGATACAGTGTGTTAACAATAGTACATCACAGTGATTTGACATTGATATATATTGCAAAATGATTACCACAATTAAGTCCAGTTAACTAGGTATAGTTAACTAGTCTAATCTTTTTGTTTTTTTTAACCTGTGTATTATTATTATTATTATTTTTTAATCCTCACCCGAAGATATTTTTCCACTTATCTCCAGATAGAGTGGGAGGGAGAAGGAGAGAGAGAAACATCGATGTGAGAGGGACACCTTGACTGGTTGCCTCCTGCACAACCCCAGCCGGGGCCAGGGACAAACCGCAACCAAGGTACGTGCCCTTGACTGGAATCAAACCCAAAACTCCAGTCCAAAGGCCAATGCTCTAACTGTGGAGCCAAACTGGCCAGGGCTACCTGTGTATTTTTTTAATTAAAAAATTTTAATGTTGACATTATTGCAGGTCCAGTCTTTATAGGACTATTTGCCAACATTTAAATGAGACAATATATATAATATCCTCAGCTCTAAGGTTTGACACTCAGTTCCTTCTTTACATTCTAGACATTTGGAATTAAACAGAATTATTAGCTGAATAATCAGGAAGAAATATACATCAACAGATCACAGGGCAACCCACATCCACAAAGTTGATGAGAGTACAAGGAAAAAATGGATAATTTACTGAATTTCAAGACACACAACTGGAGCGTTATATATGTTACCTTATTTAAATGACCTAATGTTACAATGAAGATACTTCTACTGTCTGCATTGCTATTTGGAATTTATAATTAAATTTTTAACTGTAAAAGGGACTGTTCCCTAAACCTTCTTCAACCTCTGCTTGCCCTGGTTAATTAGTTTCTCTCCATCTAAACTAAATATGGCCTTACCTGAAATGCCATCATAAAAGTTACCCATTTAGTTTAAGACACTGTCTCTGTAAAAGTCTTCTATTGAAATGCACATTACCTGGGTCAGATGCAACACTAGGACCCAGTGCTGTGTCTTAGTCTCTTTCTACCATATACCTTAGGAGGTGAGATCCTCGCACACCTAACACCCAGCCTACAGATCTGGGGAAGTCCTGCTCAGTCCCTTTTCTGCAACCAGGTATATGTCAGAGGACAGGAATTTTCTAGATCTCAGTTCCCCCAGCTCATAAAGCCAGGCACATATATAGCTAGGATGTTTGATAAAATTCAGACTGTTTTTCTATTGATGCAATCAAATTTCTTTTCCTTTTTTTGGTCAAATGTAAGGTGAGACAGCTCCAGTGGGTACTGAATTGTGTGCAGGTGTAATCAGTATTTCCAGTTGAGTTGTCTCCATATTATTATTATTATTATTTTTATCTTCACCCAAGGTCCAGATAGAGTGGGGGAGAGAGAGAGAGAGAAAGAGAGAGAGAGAGAGAGAGAGAGAGAGAGAGAAACATCGACGTGAAAGGGACACATTGAGTGGCTGCCACCCGCACAACCCACCCAGGGCCGGGGACAAACTGCAACTGAGGTACATGCCCTTAGTGGGAACCGAACCCAGGACTCTCTGGACCGCAGGCCAATGCTCTAACCACTGAGCCAAACTGGCCAGGGTGAGTTGTCTGCACATTAAAGAGAACTTAGTACAAACTCTTCTTAAAACACAGAAGTATCTGGAAGTGAGGTTATAAAACCTTATATAGCCCTGGCCGGTTTGGCTCAGCGGTTAGAGCGTCAGCCTGCGGTCCTGAGAGACCCGGGTTCGGTTCCCGCTAAGGGCGCGTACCTCGGTTGCAGTTTGTCCCCGGCCCTGGTCGGTCATGCGGGTGGCAGCCACTCGATGTGTTCCTTTCACATCGATGTTTCTCTCTCTCTCTCTGTTCCTCTCTCTCCCTCCCACTCTACCTGAACAAAAAAATGGGAAAATGTCCTCGGGTGAGGATTAAAAAAAAAAAAGTGATTTAACAGCATAAGGCAAAAAATAAAATCCATTAAAACCTTATATAAACCTGCTAATAAATAGCTCCTACTTCTGAATCTGCTCTACATGGTCAGTGCTGGAAATCTGCAGAACCTAGAGAGAAGCTCTGTCCATATGACACTGTACTTAGTCTACATCTTAATTACTGAACCCTCTGATTCGATTTGTAGGCTGTACGGCCCTCCTTGCTTGAGTGGTTCCTACGACGAGAAGTTGGCCACGTGCTAGGTGTGTATCTATCTTTATTCCCCATAATTCTCTTTGAAGTCAATCATGTCAAAACCAAATTTAAATCCTTTCAGAAACTTGACTCTCAGGGCTGGCTTTTACAGGCATGTCATGGTACTGTTTGCTCTAGATTCTTATACTCACTCATTCTTTTCTTGCCTGGTATGTGCCAGGAGCTGGGGATACAACACAGATATCCTTACTGTCCAGGTCCTCACTACTACTTGGTAGAAACAGACATGTAAATATATAGCGATGATACAGAAGTTGCAAACTGGCACAAATCTATCTGGAGATGTGTTTTGTTTGTCTCAGAGTAATCTTAACATTTGCTTTAGTACCAAGATTTTTTAGATTGGGCTTTTACATGAAAATGTAGATTTCTGGCTTTTCTGAAAGCACTGGAAGATCTGATACCACTAGGCCCACACTTATAAACAACTGAGTGGGGCTGAATAGCAACTGCCTTCTGACAGAGAACATGTTCTCGGATTCTTCCATCACTATTACCTTCTAAGCCTCTTGACTCCTTTTTTCCTGCCTCCCACTTCGGAGGTTTGTGTTTGTGAACCTGCAATAAATGCTATATCTGGAGAATGTACAAGTGGGAGCAAAGAAGCAATGCACCAAGCCCGCAGGACACACAGTAGGTTCTAGAATGAGGCTCAGCCCTGAAGAATGAGAGGACAGGAACCATATGAGGCCATCAGAAGAGCACATTCTAGGGCTCAGCAGGTGCAAAGGTCTGAGATGGGAGAGAGCATGGTGAGCACTGGAAACAACTGCACGTAATTACAGCTGGAGAAGGACAGAGAAAACACCTGGCACAGGGAGGCTGTGGCTGGAGAGGAGAGCAAGGGAGAGTTTAGACTTTATCCTGGGAGCAGAAGTGATCCACTTAAAGGAGTTTAGGCAGAGGACTGGTTTTAGGAAGATTATTCTGACAGCTGTGTGAAGAATGGACTGAAGAGGGCAAACTCTGAGACAGATTGTTAGGAAGCCAATGACACATTTTAGGAGAGAGGCTGTGGCCTGTGTCAGGACAGAAATAGTAAATAATGAGAAGGGGATTGAATCAAGAAACATGTCAGGAAATAGAATCTAAAGGACTTGCTGTTTTTCTATGAGGGATGAGGAGAGTCCAAAGTGACACATGGTTTCTGGCTTTGACTACCGGGCACATGGCAGACTGCTGAAAGAGACAGAACGACAGACTCCTGTTGTGGAAACCCGAGTGGACAAAAGTCAGGAGGCCTGGGTTTAAGCTCTAACTACGTCTCTCCGGGCCTGCCCTTCCTTTGTCAATCGAAGGCGCCACATCAGTGATCTTTACGCTCCCTTCCATCTTTGCAGTATGTAATTTTTTCACTTCAGTGAGAAAGTGTGGAACCAGATGCAGAAATATCATGATTCTCATATTTCAGAGCCCAAGAATTCAGGGTAGAAGGAATTTAAAAGGTTAAGCCCAACGCTTCATATACCTGAATGCCTTTGCAACAAACTTGTCGGGAGCTTGTTCAGCTCTGCTGGGACACATCCAGCATGGAGAATTCCTTATCTCCTAGTGCAGCTCGTTCAATTCTTACAGTTTTCAAACACTTACCCTGATACTAAGCCAAAATCTGCCCCCCTAGGATAGCTCCACCTTTGGTGGAAAAAGTAGTATATTTTGTGTTTTAAGACCTAAAATCAAGTCCTGGCTTTGGCACTTATGAAAAAAGACATTCTATCAAAGTCTCAGTTTCCCTACCTGTAAAGGATGTTTATGTAACCTGGAAGGATTTTTATAGAAGGAGTACTATATCTGAAAAGGATCCAACATATTCTTCCCTTCGAAGGCTTTATACAACTATGGCACAGGGGTTCAGTCAGCAGCCACGGGTCTTAATGTTGCTGTCCACGCTCCAATCCACAGTCATCACTAGATGCTTGTGTCAGGGCCATGATATTATTCAGCCTGGCTTTAAGTTTCATTTTATCTCCACAGCGGACACCCTTTTTGGGGCATCTATTGTCACACAACAGCCTACTGCCGACATGTCCTTGAGATGTGCAAAACAGGCGAGCACACTAGAAAGTAAGCTCCCTGGAGATGATCTTTCTTCCTTCAGTCCCTCTATAATGGTGAGGAGCAGAATGCCTGCGTTCAAATCCCAGCTGTGTCATTTACTAGTGGTGTGACCTCGGCCAAGTTACTTAATCCTCTGAACTTCAATTGCCTTTATCAAATGAAGATAACAGTACCTACTTCATTAGGCAGTTGTGAGAGTTAAACAAATTAAACGAGTTAACTTATATAAAGGGCTTACAACACTGCCAGACACAAATTAAAGTGCATTACATTAGCCCCGGCTGGTGTGGCTCAGTTGGTTGGAGCACTATCCCATGCACTAAAAGGTTGTGGGTTCAATTCCCAGTCAGGGCACATGCCCAGGTTTTGGGTTTGAGTCCTAGTTGGGGCACATATGGGAGGCAACTGATTTCTGTTTCTCTTTCACATTGATGTTACTCTTCCTTCCTTTTTATAAGTCAATTAAAAATTTGTTGTTGTTATTAATCTTCACCAGAGGAGATTTTCCCATTGATTTTTAGATAGAATGGAAAAGAGGGAGGGAGGGAGAGAGAGAGAGAAACATTGATGTGAGAGAGACACATCAATCGGTTGCCTCCTGCATGAGCCCGACAAGGGCCAGGGATTGAACCTGCAACCCAGGTATGTGCCCTTGACCAGAATCAAACCTGCGACCCTTTGGTCTGCTGGCCAACACTCTAATCACTGAGTGAAATCAGCCAGGGCTAAAATATTTCTTTTTTATCCTCATTCGAGGACATCCCTCCATTTTTTGTTCAGATAGAGTGTGTGTGTGGGGGAAACATAGATGTGAAAGGGACACATCGAGTGGTTGCCACCCACACAACCCAACCAGGGCCGGGGACAAACTGCAACCGAGGTACGTGCCCTCAGCGGGAACTGAACGCAGGTCTCTCTGGACTACAGGTTGATGCTCTAACCACTGAGCAAAATTGGCCAGGGCCAGGGCTAAAATATATATTTTTTTATCCTCACCCGAGGACATATTTTCATTTTTTGTTCAGAGTGGGAGGAAGAGAGAGGAAGAGACAGAGAGAGAAACATCGACGTGAAAGGGACACATCGAGTGGTCGCCACCTGCACAACCCAACCAGGGCCGGGGACAAACTGCAACCAAGGTACATGCCCTTAGCAGGAACCGAACCTGGGTCTCTCTGGACCACAGGCCAACGCTCTAACTGCTGAGCCAAACCGGCCAGGGCTAAAATATTTTTAATAAATACAGTATATTAAACCAAAAGTCAAACACGCCTGAATTCAAATTCCTGCTCCACCTCTGAGTAACTGTATGATCTTGCTATTATTTTAATAAGATTTCCTAGTACCGAATATGATCAAGACTGGCTACATATTCAGATTCTACCAAGCATTATTTAATTAAACCCATCAACAACCGTTAAGGTGTCATTATCTCTATTTTACAGATTAGGAAATAGGCACAGAGGGCTGAAGATTTGAAGGCTCTTTTCCATATACTTCCCCTGAGGTGGTATAGCTCAGGCCTTCGGAATCAAGTCAGATTTGAATGAATACAAGCTTTAATAGTTACTCTACAGTTTTCCTACCAGTGACTTAACCTCTAAGTCTCACCTGGTTGTTGTGAGGATTAGATGACAGATAAAGAACATGGCACAGGCCCTTAGGGTTAATACCTCTGGAGGATTTACTGTTCTTACATCCCAACTGCATTTTTAATTCACCTGCAACTCCAACACTGAAGTCATCAGAGACATAGTGGCAAATGGCTTTATTTCTTACACTGGGTCCCTCTGTCCCATAATCCTGGTTTCTCTTCTAAAATAAAGCCCTTCCTTTTTATTTTGGGTCTCAGGATAATGGCAGGCAAGCTCAAGAATCTCCCTCAGGGATGGAAATGATTCACTGTTCAGCTACTCGTTCAGTCCTTGGCCCAGCTATTGCCTGAGTGATGGAAGGAGCTCTCAGCAAGATAATGATGTCTAAGGCCATTTCAGGAGCCGTCCCTGGTGAAAAAGTACAGCTGTGAAAGCTGCTGTGGAGTTGGCCCTGGCAAACAGAATACTGCTTTAAGAAAAAGGATTACGACTAATAACTGGTTTGGAGGTAGCTGGAAAACTGGGTCTTTGTTTCACACCTGAAGAATGGAAGCTTATGGAAAAAAAATGCTGAACCTATATCACACAAATTTTTTTTTTTGTTTTAATCCTCATTTGAGGACATTTTTTTCCATTTTTTGTTCAGATAGAGTGCGAGGGAGAGAGAGAGAAACATCGACGTGAAAGGGACACATTGAGTGGTTGCCACCCACATGACCCAACCAGGGCCAGGGACAAACTGCAACCAAGGTACATGCCCTTAGCAGGAACCAAACCTGGGTCTCTCTGGACCACAGGCCGATGCTCTAACCCCTGAGCCAAACCAGCCAGGGCTCCACACAAATTTTTTTAAGGACCAGTTTGGTGTTTTCTCAACTTTATTATAGGTAGGGATGGAGGGGAGGGGAGAGACTTGAAGGTCTTTGTTTTCTTAATGCAAAATACTTTATCTTGTGTTTAATATCAGATGAGACTGTAAGGGTCACTTGTTTCTCCTTAGGCCCATACACCATGTCCAGGTGAAGTCCTTCTGGCTTCTGGCTCACTGATACCTAAGGGCCTTCAAGGCCATGGCTATAAAGACTGCCTGTGACTCAACGCCTTGCGGGTTTGGGCATTATGTAAACTTTTACAGACTTGCTGAAGGGGATGGTGCCCTCGATGCTGGTTTCCACCTGGGGCGCTATCTCGGCCGCCTCGATCCAGGGCGATTTTGGAATGCGTGAGTTGGAGTTGTAGGCCAGCAGCAGCCTCACTTCCACCTGGCATGGTTCTGGAATAAAAGACAAAAGAAATCTATGACTGGGCATTGCTAGGAACTGGTATGAAATGTCATATAAAAGCAACATCAAAGATGGGTTTCAGGCAGTGGGGTTTCAAGATGAAGGCAGGGTTCTCCTCAGTTCTCTGTGGGCTTCCTGCAGCTCAGAGCCCTGGCTGCTGAGGATCAGCTAAAACTCGTCTAGAGAGGCTTTCCAGTCTCAAGACCGAGGTTCACACGGTACACACGTGTGGCTGATTCTCACGCCCAGATACTCGTGCTCTTCCTGCGCACTGATAGCAGGCCTCAGGGCTGTGTGCACAGACTCCCGTCTCTCTGAGCTCCAGCATGCTGTGTATGCACCCCCTGAGCCTGGGCCTTTCCACGACTGTGCTGTCCCACAACATTCTCCTCACATCTAGAATCTGTTCAGGAGAAGAGATTAGAATAAGGAAGTCTTCCTTCCTGTGGAGCTAGAGGTTTGGCAAAGAGTACAGAAACATTCCAGGCAGCAAGGTGATGGGATGAGGGATGTTCAGGGAGGCAGATCCTGGGTAAAAGCTTTGCTGGATGCTCCCTCAAGACCAGTGCCAGGCCCAGGGTCACCAGTCCCCCGAGGGGGCTGCCCTGATATTCAACAGTACTTCTTTGTTGAAAACTTTATAACGTCATGTATAACTAACACCTATAACCTAACAACCCTGATAGAAATTAATAATGGCCCTCGATACTTATTCATGTATTTTAAAACACAGTGAAAGAAAATCCATTAAGCATCTACCTACTTCTAAAATAAACCAAACTTGGTGGCATTAAACACTTTCTCCAATAGCAGCCACGCTTTTGAAACATCTTGAATGATTTAGGAAATGCCAGCGGGGCCAATTCTTTGCCCCATTAGGTTCTGTCAACAGTCTCCTTTTAAAGTTTCCAAAGCAGTGTTAGGCTTAAAATGTAATTATCTTTGCATTTGTGTTCTCCGTCTTATTCTTACGAATTAAAAAAAATATTTATGCAACCTCCCTGTCTTTTCACAAATTACTGAGGCTCAACCCTGCCACTGTATGGGAGGGTAAAGCAGGCCTGGATCAGATCATCTCACTTTGTGTTACCCTACAAACCAGCCCATGTGGGAGGGGAGGACAGTAACTGTCACTTTACTTGTTTCAGTGGAATGAATGAATTTTTCATATACAAAAAAAAAAAAAAAAATGGTTTTAATTTTTTGGTAAGAAATACAAAACTGTTTAATTTCTAGGCAGAGCAATGCTCATAACTAACTAGAATGAAAATTAGCATCTTCGTTTGAACTGTGAGGAAACAGATTCAGACGGTAGAGTAGCTTGTCCAAGGTTACACAGCAAGTCAGTGGCAGAGTTAGCACAGGAATATAAATCTCTAGCCCCAGGGCTCTTTCCATGAGACTCCTTTCTGTTGTAATCAGTATATCTTCTGAAAAAATCCCGAGCCTTTTGCAATCAAAGAAATGCAGCAAATTAGTCTAAATGTATCCCGTTTGAGATTTTAAGCTCCCTAAGAAATCAAGGAAAGCCCTCAACAGGCCTGATTCAACCATGCAAAAAACCAAATGCCTAAGGGTGGGTGTAATCCCCAGGAACATATTTTCCTACCCACCCGGGGCCCACTGACTCCTTACCTGTCCAGGCAGTGTGGGAGAGATACACCTGAGTGATGAGTCGGTGCCGCCCTGGGCCAGGATTCCGGAAGTCTGCAGGCTTGGGATGGATCATCTGAGCCTGGCCATCTGGATATAAGACCTAAGAGGTGATAGAAATGAGAAAAAGGCAAAAATAGCCATGAGCTTATAACAAAACTGCTGGTGACATGTGCTGTGAACCCCTTAACAAGAGGAAAAGAAGGATGACACAGCCTTCACAAAAGACCACTCCTTGAGGGGAGGGCCACATTGCTAACATCTTTAGACCCCCCCAGCCCCACCACATAGTGTTTGATAATGTTTCCTGACTCCACGGTGAACAACTAAGAGGAATACAGTGTCTCTATGAAGTATAAGACAGGTAAAAATATATTAATCCTGGCATGAAAAGCCTTCCCAGGTACCCATTAGCATGACTCTCTCCCTCCTGGCTCTGAATCATGTCATGGCCCATTATCCATCACCATCCACCCAGTATTAAGAGTAATTCTGTAACTGTATTGTCTCCAGTAGATTACAAGTAGTTAGAACTGTTTAACTGTCTCTTTCTACAGAGATACTGCTCAAATCACCGGCCAGTTCTTCAGATCGCACAACTTGCCAGAGTTCTTTCCTCAGCATCCCAGGGGGGCCTCACAGCTGTCTGTGGAGAGGGCCTATTACACTGCAGTGTACAAAGGAACTACGTGAATGAACGAGGCTGATCCTGGAACCACACAGGCCCTACGCAATGTAAATACACTGATAAGGGCAAATTAGTGAACTGAGTGGGTTTTTCAGCCAGAACTCTGGGAGCTATTTCTCAGCCCCCCTGCCCATAACGTCATTTCATCTCTCCTCAGATCTTACCCCTACCCTTTCCCACCCTTCTTTAACGCTACTACTCACTATCGCCAGGCCCCAAATCTACCACAGCAGAAAGATGCAGTTATCCCAGCTTTCTGATCCTTGTTATCTTTAAAGATGATACTTCGGCTTCATTTTTTAAGAAAGAAGAACAGGCTCTGGCCGGATTGGCTCAGTAGTTGAGTGTTGGCCTGCGGACCAATGAGTCGCAGGTTCGATTCTGGTCAAGGGCACATACCTTGGATGCAATTCATCCCTGGCCCTGGACGGAGTCGTGCAGAAGGCAACCAGTCGATGTGTCTCTCTCACATGGATGTTTTCTCTCTCTCTCCCTCCCTCCCTCCCACTCTATCTGAAGATAAATAGAAAAACATCCCCAGGGAAGGATTTAAAAAAAAAGGAGGGACAGGGTAGGGCTGAAAAGTAATGAGCACAGAAAAGAAAATGGAAAAGGTAGCAGAATCTCCCAGCATTGTCAGCAAAACTGTCCTTGGTGAAAGGCCCTGACCCCTCTGTGAAACGGCCACTGGAAGCTTTCATTCACTCCTCCCAAGTGCAGCTTAGAAATCCATGGCCCTAGTAGTCAGGGGAAGAAAATGGCCAGTATGAATTATATTCTGAATTTCAGAAAAACTAAAAAAAAAAAAAATCGTACCTCCTCAATCATCAGGTATAATCTAGTAGGCCTGAACTGAGCTAATGAAGTGTTATTGAATGAAATTCCTGTACATTTTGTTTTAAAGAGCTGATACACATTATTTTTATTTATTTATTTATTTTAATACACACTATTTTAAAAGAGAATATAATGTTGCCCGGCCAGTGTGGCTCAGTGGACTGAGCATCACCCCATGGACTGAGAGGTCCCAGTTTGATTCCTGGTCAGGGCACATGCCTGGGTTGTGGGCTCGACCCCAGTAGGGGGCGTGCAGGAGGCAGCCAATCAATGTTTCTCTCTCTCATGGATGTTTTCCTCTCTCTCTCCCTTCCTCTCTCTAAAAGAGTCAGTAATTTAAAAAATTGCTTTTAAAAGAGTATAATCTTGACATAACCTCAATGTTGTTCACTGCTACATCCCTAGCACCTAAAGCACTGTCCAGAACAGGAGTGTTGTTCAGACCCAGTGGCTGGGTTGGACAGCAGTTTGCAATTAATAGAGCTGCCTCATGACCAAGCAGTAAGTTTCCCATCTCCCTGACTGCAGAGGCACCCAGTTTGGCCATGCATGTAGTGAAGATGCTTGGGAGGGGATTTTCCTGTAGAGTACAACAGATGACCTTTAAATAATCTTTCTACAATCTCATTTATGCTTAGTTGGTCAGTGAACTTGTTTTCAGGAACAGTGTGAAACAGTTTCTCAACCACAGCTATACATTAGAATCACCTATGAGTTCAAAAACAAAAACCTGATACCCATGGGCTCTGCTCTAGGATTCTGATTTAACAGGTGTAGGCTGAGGCCTATACACCACCACTTTTTAATGTTTTCTGAGTAATTCTAAAGTGCAGCTAGGGGGCCCTGGCTAGGTAGCTCAGTGGGTTAGAGTGCCATGTCAGTAAGCCAAGGTTGCAGGATTGATCCCTGGTCAGGGCACATATAAGAATCAACTGATGAATGCATAAATAAGTGGAAAAACAAATCTGTTTCTTTTTTTTTTTTTAAATCGTATTGTTGAATGTAGAACGTATTACAGATGTTCCACATTTTTCCCCCATTGACCCCCTCCTCCCCACTCCCGGCCCCCTCCCGCCTTTTCCCACACTATTGTCTGTATCCGTTGGTTATGCATATAAGTTCTTTGGTTTATTTCTTCCGACCCCCAAACCCTTTTCCTTTGAAGTTTGTCAGTCTAGCAATGAATTTGTACTTCTTAATTCCTTCACCTTTTTCACCCATTCCCCCAACCCTCTCCCATCTGGCAACCAACAAAATGTTCTCTGTATCTATGAGAATGTTTCTGTTCTACCTGTTCATTTTGTTTGTAGATTCCATTGTTGATAGATATGTATTCATTGCCATTTTGTTTGTTCATATATTTTATCTTTTTCTTCAAAAAGACCCTTCATCATTTCATATAATAATGGTTTGGTGGTGATGAACTCCTTTAACTTTTTCTTGTCTGGGAAACTCGTTTATATGGCCATCGATTCTAAATGACAGCTTTGCAGGATAGAGTAATCTTGGTTGTAGCTTCTTGCTTTTCATCACTCTGAATATTTCTTGCCACTCCCTTCTGGCCTGCAAAGTTTCTTTTGCGAAATCAGCTGACAGCCTTATGGGAACTCCCTTGTAGGTAACTAGCTGCCTTTCTCTCGCTGCTTTTAAGATTCTCTCTTTGTCTTGAACCTTTTGCATTTTGATGATGATGTGTCTTGGTGTGGGCCTCTTGGGGTTCATCTTGTTTGGGACTCTCTGTGCTTCCTGGACTTGTATGTCTCTTTCCTTCATCAAGTTAGGAAAGTTTTCTGCCGTTATTTTTTCAAACAGGTTTTCAATTTCTTGTTCTCCCTCTTCTCCTTCTGGCACCCCCAAGATGTGAATGTTGGAATGCTTGAAGTTGTCCAGAGGCTCCTTACACTACCCTCATTTTTTTGGATTCCTTTTTCTTTTTGCTGTTCTGATTGGGCGTTTTTTGCTTCCTTATATTCCAAATCAATGGTTTGCTTCTTGGGTTTATATACTCTACTATTGAATCTGTATAAATTATTCTTTATTTCAGTTAAAGCCTCCTTCGTTTCTAACTGTGCATCGATCATTTCTGACATGTCCTTTTTTATGCTCTTGAGGCCCTCACTGAGTTAATTGAGCATCCTTATAAGCAGTATTTTGAACTCAGCATCTGTTCGGTTACTTATCTCCATTTCGCTTAGTTCTTTTCTTGGGGTTTTATTCTGTTCTTTCACTTGGGACCTGTTTCTTTGCCTCCTCATTTTGGCTGCCTCCGTGTTTGTTTCAGTGTATTACTTAACGAGCGGTATGGGGCTATCTGAGACCAGATGCTGCTTGTTTGAAAGAATTTAGGAAAAACCTGAAGGAGGATCCAAGACAGGCCAATCCTATGGTTAAGCAAGTAGCAACAGCTTGGGTGGGCCTGAAAGTTGGGTGGGGTGGGGTGGGGTGGGGTGGGGCAGGGCCTCAGGGAGTCACCAGAGAGGAGCTACCAGTGTGAGCCAGGTTGCTGGAGTCCACGATATGGTGGCTATCTGCCGCCCCCGGGAAGGGCTCACCAAAGGAACAAAGGCCTCTGACAGCACGTTTGTCCCGGAGAAAGCCCCCTCTCCAGCCCTGGCCGGTTTGGCTCAGCGGTTGGAGCGTCGGCCTGAGGTACAGAGAGACCCGGGTTCGGTTCCCGCTAAGGGCACGTACCTCGGTTGCAGTTTGTCCCCGGCCCTGGTTGGTCGTGTGGGTGGCAGTCACTCGATGTGTCCCTTCACATCGATGTTTCTCTTTCTCTCTCTCTTCCCCTCTCTCCCTCCCGCTCTATCTGAACAAAAAATGGAAAAAATGTCCTCTGGTGAGGATAAAAAAAAAAACAAAAAACAAAGCCCCCTCTCCAGCCCTCGCTCCAGTGCCAAACAGCTCAGTTCTTCCCTGTATGTCTCGTGCCCCTCAAGCTGCCTCCCCTCCAAGCTTAGAGGGAGAGAGTCCGATAAGTCCGTGCTCGGTCCCTTTAAAGAGCTGCCTGGGGCTCCAGCCGCTTCAGCCTCCCTGAGCCTCAGTTCCTGCTGGTTTTTCCAGCAAGAAGTTATGGGGACTTCTCTTCTGACACTGGAATCCTGAGCGGGGCACCTGGTGTGGGACGGGGACCCCTCAGTCCTCAGGAAGGACCTTCCCAGCCAAGGCAGCCTCCTGATGTTTATCCACCACACGTGGGTGTGGGGCCAGCCGGTCTCACCGCCGTCTCTCCACCGCCCCTCGCCCCTCCGCCCCTCTACCAGTCTTGATGCAACTTCTTTAATTCCGTAGTTGTAGGGCTTCCATTCAGCTTGATTTCAGGCGATTTTGAATGGTGGTTGTTCTGTAGTTTAGTTGTAACTTGGATGTGGTTGTGGGAGGACGCGATACTGCGTTTACCTACGCCATCTTGACCGGAAGTCCAAATCTATGTTTCTGTTTCTCTTTCTCAAATAAGTAAGTAAAATAAAAAGTAAAAATAATTTAAAAATGCAGCTAGGGTGAAAAATCACTAGTGTGTGTGTGTGTGTGTGGGGGGGGGGGGTCCATAAAACAAAAAAATCAGCTGCAGCACAACTTCACAGCCAGCTCAGCATTAGTGCTTTGAAGGTCTCAGGGTTTATAATTCTTGCTGGGAAGCCAGGTTTTTTCCTCTACTGTCACCAGAAGCAAATATTACCATCTCCCCCCTCCCCCGCAATCACCATTTATCCCCTCTATGCCCTCTTCCACCTCTACCCTCCTCCACCCCACAATCACCACTGCTGTCCTTGTCCACGAGTTCCCTCTTTTGTTTTTGTTTTTTTTTTGCTCAATCTCTCCACCCACCCCAACACTGTCACCCCCACCAGAGCTGTCTGCCTGCTCTCTGAGTCTGTCTCTATTTGCTTGGTAGTTCAGTTTATTCATTAAATTCCAAATATTACCATCTTTAAGGCCTGACTCATCCTTACCTTTCAGGAAGCCTTCCCTGCCTGCTCCAGGCTATTTTTCTGTCCTCTGATTATACTAGTTGCTGCCACTTGCATCCCTATCTTTACTCATATCCCTCCTGCCCAGAATTCCCCCTTCTGCTCTTAGTCATCCTTTCAGACTTCACCATACACCAACATGTCCACAAAGACTTTTCTTCTTCAGCCTCCATCACTCTCCAAGTTCAGTGTCTCTCCAGAGTATTTTCTTATTTATTTA